AACTGGGAGAGTCATACTTCCCTGAACAAAAATAGGCAACAACAGGCCATGGAGATGTCTATGGAGCGAGTACATAGAGCAAGTCAGAAGAGTTCTCATGTCGAAGAGATGCCACCACATAGGTAGTCGGGTAAATCACTCGGCCATTGGCCGGGGGCACTAACTTAAATTACAACTTGTGAGACGGATGATATGAGATTCCAATTGCAACTTGTGGAGCGGAACAGAGGTAGCCGATCAACGAATCTTCCAAGGATGCAACAAGATCAGGGCTGAGGTCATAAGGTTTCCAACCAGGATGCTGCCTCCTCAGGCACAGTGAAGAAGCGTGTGGTTTCACCATCTTGAACTCTGAGCCTCGCAGGGAACAACATGCCATAAGTAAGGACTTTTGCCCGTAGCTGAGCCTTAACAGCATCAAAGGAGCGACGTTGCTGTTGGGTATCGACCGATTAGTCAGGAAACAGCATTAACTTGTGATTTTCATAACGCAGTTCCCCCTGGGCCCTGGTCGCCCTTAGCGTCATATCCCGGTAGTTAAGCAGCTTGAAAATAAAGGTGCATGGCAGTAACCAGGTGGGCCCCTGACTGCTGGCATTCGATGGGCTATCTCTACCACAAAGAAGGTGGAAAAAGTGGCTCATGTCAGCAAGGAGCGAAGGAGATTCTCGGTAAACCGAGGTGGATCGTCACCCTCTGGCCCTTCAGGAAGACCCACCACATGGAGGTTGTTATGCCTGCTGAGATTTTCCGCATCCTCTGCTCTGATCTCAAGGTATTTGACCTTAACCCACAGAGTATGCATCTCTGCCGAATGGTCGAGGATAGTGTCCTCTGCATCACTAACATGCTGTTTGACCTCTGCAAATCGGCTCCAGAATGATTCAAGATCCTGCCGGATCAGCCCCACAGTCTGCAGATGTTCCATTTTCGTGGTGAGCACTGTCTGGCAGTTGGTAATCATCGTCATGAGGGAATCAAAGTCCGCCGGCGCAGGAGGTGTACTGGGCTCTTGGGAGGAGGATGCAGCCATGGTGGTCCCCACTTTAGCCCCCGAGGGCCCGCCAGTCTTCACAGTTTGTGTAGTTTTGGACTTTTTGCCAGCAGTCGCAGGCTTTCCTCTAGTCATCCCCAATATTCTGTCGCATCAGCCAAAGAAATGGTCACTATAACAATTGGCAGGAAATGTTGTCAGCTAGCCTCCACATATGACTGAAGAAGTATAAACTAGGAAGAATCTGAGGCCACCACAGAGGGAAGCGGCCATGCCAGCGGTTACACAGGACACCAGCTCCACGAGGGGGAGGAAATGTAAGGGCCGTGACAGATAGGAAAACCCCTTGCACAGGTACAGGCAGCCAGGTAGCACAGGTAGGGATCCCCGTCAGAACCCAGCCCAGTACAGGTGCCAGCCAAGGGACAGAGCCTCAAGAGCCCCTCAGGGGAAGGGGACCAAGCCAACAAATCTTCGGGGGGTGGATGGACACAGGTAGCTCCAGCAGTCCCCCTACAGATAGCAGCCACCCCTCCACAGAGCCTCCAGACCAGGCTGATCCTCCTCTCCCCTCGGGGGAACACATGGGTCTCTACAGAACTCCCAGGTCGGGATGCAGGGGACAGCAGAGGTCAAAACCCTCCCCCAGTCAGCAGCTCACCTCCCCAGAATCCATGTGTGACACAGGCCGGGTCCAGGCCTTACGTAGGCCACAGCAGGCCGGGTCCAGGCCTCGGGTATGCTGCAGAAGGCTGGGTCCAGGCCTCAGGTAGGCCGCATCAGGCCGGGTCCGGGCCTGGGGTAGGTCCCAGCAGGCCGGGTCCGGGCTTCGGGTAGGCCACAGGAGGCCGGGTCCGGGCCTTGGGTAGGCCACAGAAGGCAGTGTCTGGGCCTTGCGTAGGCCACAGCAGGCCAGGTCCGGGCCTGGGGTAGGCCCCAGCAGGCCTGGTCCAGGCTTTGGGTAGGCCGCAGGAGGCCGGGTCCAGGCCTTGGGTAGGCTACAGCAGGCAGTGTCTGGGCCTTGGGTAGGCTGCAGCAGGCCGGGTCCGGGCCTCACATAGGCCGCAGCAGGATGAGTCCGGGCTTTGCGTAGGCCACAGCAGGTCAGGTCCAGGCCTCGCGTAGGCCTCAGCAGGCCGGGTTCAGGCCTCGTGCAGGCCGCAATAGTCCGCGATCCTCTGGCTCTGCAGACGGGAGTCAATCCAACCCAAATCTCGCCTCTGGGTTGCATAGTGTGTCCGCAGGGATCCCCGATGTCATTGGGATCCCGCTACCCCCAGGATGGAAATGGATGCAGGAGATAGGCGGCAGAGCTCTCCTCCTAGGCATCCGATCGCCACCTTGGACACACCCCCGACTGTAGCAAGGAAATTTCATGGATGGCCTTATTGCACAGGTAGTAACCTATCACGGTACCATGCTTGAATTTACTGAGCTTCTGCGAGCAACCCATTCTTTCACAAATGTAGAAACAGTCTGCATGCCTAGGTTCTTGATTTTAAACACCTGTGGCCATGGAGGTGATTGGAACACCTGAATCCAATGATTTGGAAGGGTGTCCCAATATTTTTGGCAATATATATATATATATATATATATATATATATATATATATTATTATTATTTTTATTATTATTATTATTATTATTATTAATAATAATAATAATAATAATAAGTGAATAGATGACTAGGTATAGGACTGGTAAGCTGCAATATACTACAACACTGTACATTTTTTTTGTGTATATATATATATATATATATATATATATATATACTGGGTTCAAGGATTCAATGTTAGCATATTTAGGCACTTTATTAAACTCATAATGCTTTGTGTATTTATGTAGATTTGAATCCCTTCTTCTTACCATACTATTACCAAGATCTCTGAATGGCACACTGACTCTGTACTTGTTATGTTAGCATTGCAAATATATTGTGAAATAGTTCAACCAATTAAAAATTGTAGCAATGTATAAGCCTTTAGTTATACTCTGCAAGCAACACCCTTATGAGAACAGGGGTGACTCAAACGTCCGGGCATTAACAATGAAAATAGCTGTCATGAGATATTCATATACTTTGTAAGTAAATAAAAGTTGTGAACATTATGCAATGAGAGTGGAGACATTATCCACGTCACTATATAAACTGTACTCATGCATTGTTTATACAATGGAGAATTATTATTTTTAACTTTGAGCTAGTGATTCATTTTGTGATTTTTTTTTACTTTTACTTGCTGTACATGGGAAAAGTCACATTGTACTTTTTAGCCAATGCATTTAGCCAACATTGAGTTTCCTAAATTAATTGTACAAAACTCTTTCACATGTGGCCAGAGAATGGTAAAAATAGGCAGCACTTTTACCAACCCCCGGCCACCCACCCAGATTCTAACATTACAATCTGGCAGGTTGCACACATGCCACGGCTGTGATGCTTTGCTTCGCAAGTGCAGCATGTTTCACTTGGGCTACAGAGTTTGATAGGCAGCACTAACTGTCAAGCTCGCCTTTTGAGATCAATAGAACCACTTAGCAACCATGAGCCAAACTTTTGGCTTGTAGTCGTGGCACGGTCCTGCAATGTAAAATTGCTGCTTGGTAATTAAAAAAAAAAATAACAGGCATCAAGAAGTGCCTTCTGAAAGGCCAACACCTGCTGCTATTGCACAGGTTGCTTTTCAGAGAGCGGTAAGCTTATTGCCTGTCAGAAAGAACCCAAAGGCTATCATTTGAATAGTCACAGATTTTCCATCTGTGGTACTTCAAGTCATGTTGAAAACTCTAAAAGTCCATTGCTAGGTTTAGTTACAGCTAATTAGAACTTTGCTTTGATTAAGCAGATTATGGAAAGAACAGTTCTGATTGGCTGCTTTGGTTTTCTATACTAAGTAGTACTAGGTAGACATGTGCATTCAGTTTGTTCAGATTATTTTTTTCAAATGAAAATTTCATGTTTGGAGATTTGGATGTATCACATGTGGCCTGGTATGTTCAACAGGGGGGCTCTAACTTGTCTCCCCTACCCTCTTTCTGGCCTGCAGGGCTGCATACTTGGATAAGAGTTTGTTATGGAATTTGGGAGGACCCCAAGTCATTTTTAATTTTGAGGGTAGGGTTCCCCTTAAAATCCATACCAGACCTGTATGGATTGGAGGGGGCATGGTTTTTTACCAAAAAAAATGTAACTGGTACTTCTTTTGTTAGCATTATGCTGACAGCAGGGAATCCCGCTGACAGTAGATGAGTTATGATTGTTTTTTTTCCATAATAATTTTTATTGAACATTGCAAGTTTGTAACATTCCAAATATTACAACAGTGATAAGAAGAAAGAGAAAAAAAATATGAAACAAAACACAGAGCCATCACCAGACCATAATCAGAGCATTGAATAACAATTGGACCAAGTCTGTAATATACCTCGTGCAACTGACTGACAATTGAGGAGGACTTAGGAAAAAGAAAATTGGGGGAAGGGAGGGGCCAGGTTAGGGTAGGGGGGATGGACCAAGGGAAAAACAGTTAGCAATCATAGCCTAGACCAGGCCATCCCTTGTAAGTAAAAAAAAAATGGGGTTGGGTGCTATCTTACCTCTCTCCACCAGCATAAAGACAGTAGATGATTAATGCAGTGGTCTCTCATCAGGTAGTGTCAAGTTTGCAATCAGGAATCCCACCATGACAGTATACCGCACTCCTTCCGGAGCAGTACGCATCCATTGTGAAACAAAGTGTTCAGAACATAAAGTCCTTGTAGTCATCTGAAGCTTTGAAATATATCCAGCAGGCCCATGTTTTGGTGAAGGCCGAGATCGTGTCCTGAGATGTAAAAATGAGCTCCTCCCATCTCCTCCAACTGTTCCAAGAGGGCAAGCCACTCCCGTATGCTGGGTGGTTTAGTGTCTCTCCAATGTAGAGGATACATAAGCGTGCCACGTTGATCCTGTGTAATTGTAGAAATCTTTTGTATTGCCGTAAAGGCTGCTAGGTATAGTGTAGAACAGGCCTTGAAATTTCCACTCACCCACTTGCCAATGGCGAGTGGAAATTATGGTAGGGGCGAGTGCGTCCCCCAGGGCCATCTTGCTGAGCAGGCTCGGAGCTCAGGCCAAATCTGTCATTGGCACTGGGAACCGTCAGACTGCTCAATAGCTGAGCGCAGTGAAAGCAAAGGAAGGAGTGTGTGCTGTGCTCTCTGCCTCCCCCTAGAGTGCAGTACCCAGCTCTCTGAGTGAACAACGAAGTACTGCAACTTTTTATAGGTGTGTGTGTGTCTACCTAATTTCAGCTCAGTCTGATCGTCACATGATCCTCTATGTCAGCCAGTGGTGGCTTCAGGGGAGAGGAGAGAGCACCTAACAGCGTGCGTGTGTGTGTGTCTGTGTATGCATGTACAGTACATGTGTGTATCTGTACATGTCTGCGTGTATGTACATGTGTCTGTTTGTACATGTGTCTGTGTATGTATGTATGTACATGTGTCTGTGTATGTATGTACATGTGTCTGTGTGTATGTACATGTGTCTGTGCATGTGTATTTCTGTGTATGTACATGTATCTGTGTGTATGCGTGTCTGTACGTGCCTGTGTGTGCATACATGTGTTTGTATGTGTGTGTGTGTGTACATGTGTCTCTGTGCATGTGTGTACATGTTTCTGTGTGTGTGAGTGTGTATGTACATGTCTGTGTGTGTGTACAGGCGTCTCTGTTTGTGTGTGTTTGTTGGTGGCGAGTAACTCTTAAGGCCTGGCTAGTAGCTCAGGACTTCAGATTTTAAGCAATGGTGCAGAAGATACTGTGCTGGGGAGAAATCCACGGCAGTCCCTGTCATTCAAAAAATAATGTCAGGGTCCTTGCTCCAAAACTGTGCAATGAGAGGGCAGTCCCACCAGACATAGAAGAACGTGCCTTCTGTCATCAGACATCACCAGCATCGGTCTGAAGTAGCTGGGTAGATCTTATGTAGTAGAGAGGGAAACTCTATACCATCTGGATCTGATCTTATAAGAGTTCTCCTGAGTGTGAACATTCAGAGACCCTTTGTTGGTGAGCAAGTTCATTTACTTCCAATCTTCCTCGTCTAGCTGAGTATCCAAGTTCTTTTCCGACTCAGTACTAGTCTTCCCTGAGTTAGAGGGCAGAGCAGAAAAAACCATAGAAATGGGACAGAAACCAGATGCCGTTGGGGCTCAGATCTCACACAGATCACTTCAAAAGGTGTCCAGTCTCTACAGTACATCCGCTTAAATTCAGAATCGAAAAGAAAATGTCTAATTTGCAAGTCCAGAATAAAACATTTGACTGTGGGACCATGTTTGTTAATGAATCTCGTGCAATGAACTGTCCTCTGTAAAAGAACTGGTGGGCCTGTGGATTGACATGCGGCCAGGTATCTCGGAGGAAGGAGCTACTCATACCCAAAGCAAAGTCTGGATTAAATCTTAGGGGGGTAAAGGTCCAAGGACTGACAAGAGCTGGAACGCCTTACACACAAACCTAATATTCCTTAAAGTGACTGAGATCAGTGGATGATATACGTCTTTGGCAAGCTTGCAGTGCACAGGGGAGAGCCAAGGTACCCTGTCAAGGGTTGAGTCATGGTTGTTAGGACATGGCAGCAGCCTGCTCCTTAAAAACCAGTGCTATTCCAAATGAAATAAAATGAATGCAAAAGATACAAAATTAATTTAGAAAATAAATATGTTCATTAACGAATGCATCCGAAAACAAATTCTTCAATTAATGAATGCATCTGAAAAGGTGCAAAATAAAAGTTTGCAGGGTGCACATGTGTAGCACTAGCTAATCTGTGCCTGTTCTGGGCACATAGGGCATAAAGTGGATACATACACAGAAGACTGTGAAACAGGTACTTTACCAAGTTTAAAAGTCCACCTAATTTATTATCCCCAATAGCCCACTACACCTATCTTGGTGTGAGTTCCTTACTCTACTGAACAGTACGTTCGAAACAAGACAACAATTGGATATTTGGAGCTCAAGGCAAAAAGCATAACTTGTTATTTAGTTTTAAATGTAATTAAAATACATAAAACTAAAATGATTTGTGCCCTCCTCCATATTTTGTACATTATGTACAGTATATCATGTATTATATGCTCATAGCCATGATTCATTGTGTGCCTGTAATAAGCTGAGGAAGGGTTAGGAGATGAATCATATGCAGGTGTCTGCACATGATATAAGTTTGGATACAGTGGAATGGAAAACAAGAGGCTGACATGACATGACATGACATGACATGCAATGGGGTGGATTTACTAAAACTGGAGAGTGCCAAATCTGGTGCAGCTCTGCATAGAAACCATTAGCTTCCAGGTTTTATTGTCAAAGCTTAATTGAATAAGGTGAAGTTAGAAGCTGATTGGCTACCATGCACAGTTTTTCCTGATTCTGAGTTCTCTGGTTTTAATAAATTTCTCTCAGTGCATTGTTAAAGAGTATTACTTGCCTTTAGGAAACTATATAAAAGAAGGATGTGCAGTTGGATGCTCGGTTCATTGATGGTCTAACATGTAGGAAAACTGGGGCAAATATGGTTGTGATTGGAGCACTAGTCCAGAGTCATGCCAGAGCAAAGGGGGCTGGGACCCAGGCTAATGGTGTTCAAAACAAAGCAAGGCTGCAACATTGGGACCAAGGAAATCAATGAAGGATAAAGAAACTGAAGTTAAAGAGATACTAAACCTTCAGCTGATTTAATCACTCACTGAATATGAAACATCTTTGTCTTTTAATCCTTGCCTATCTTCCAGGTTAAAGTAGTATTAAACTCTCACTGTTTCTTTAGCTTAATACACTGGGCGCAATGAAATAAAGATTCCCCATGAAATTATTGTACTTGCAGATTACAACTTTCAGTGCTGCTGGCTTCTGCCCTCTCAGTGTTGCTTCCCTGAACTACTGGTCTTTACAGGACAGCATTAACAGTCAGTCTGTTAGCTTGAAGAAGGCATGAAGGGAGTGCGCATGCGCGGCTGACGGCACAGGACATGTCTCCCTGAGGCTCCTCCACGCTGCAGGGAAGACAGCCTCACCGCTGCATGATCTGGCCCCGCACCGCTCCACGAGCGGCACCGATCGGTAGCGCAACCCCCCGGCCATCTGTCAATATGGTCAGGGGGGCAAATAAGCATCAAGCGGCGCCGCCGCATAAGCCGATAAAGGAGGCCCTTGCTCGTGCCTCCTCCAAGATGGCCGCCGCATCGGAGCACCACAAGAGCCAGCCAGCCTTATCCAACCCTGCAGTCCTGCAAACGGAGCAGCCAAGCCGCCCAAGCTCTTCAGAGGGTGAGTCAGATGATGACACTTCGACCCCCAAACATGCCTTGACGCCTGACCTTACTACCCCTGACATTCTAGCTCGCTTTGAAATAATGCTACATAAGGCCCTGAAACAGACCTCAGACCGCATAACTAACCAGCTGTCCAGGGAAATCCGTGAGTTGGGGCAACGCACTGCGGACCTAGAACAGAGGGTGGACGACCTTGATGCATCTCTCCAAACGCAAGGGGATGAGCTAGACCTGCTGCGTGACGAAAACGCTATACTTCAGGCGCGCTTAGAGGACTTTGAGAACTGGGCCAGACGCTCCAACGTGAGTATTCGTGGCCTCCCCGAGTCAATTATTGATGTCCAATCTGCAGCTACTGCGCTATTCCAAGAGCTCGCCCCTGCTATCCCAATAGAACGCCTCGAGATGGATAGGGTTCACAGGGCACTAGCTCCAAAGCGCACTGACGGCCCGCCGCGAGACATCATAGCTAAACTTCATTTTTTCCGCACAAAGGAGCAACTACTACAAGCCGCCCGCAATTCGGAGTCCCTCCTGTTTCAAGGTCACCATTACCAGCTGTTTCAGGACCTTTGCCCTACTACCATTACCAAACGCAGAGCTATGAAACCGCACTTGCTAGTGCTACAACAGCATAGTATACCATATAAATGGTGCTTTCCCTTTGCGGTACGCTTCCGCCATCAAGCCCGTGACCACGTATGCAAGACTACTGACGAGCTTCAGGACACGCTACGAAACCTCCAGCTGCACCCTCCCGCTGCACAGATTGAGACCTCCAGAAGGCGTTCGGGCGTCATGCTCACCGCAGAAATCCCAGCCGTCACGAATTCCTAACCTAAACGCACACAAGCGGGGACGCTTTTCCTCTCCTGCTCCCTCACCACAAGATTCAATGGACTGAATCCCGTTGACCACCTTTGATCCTTAATCCTGCTCCTTATGTGGTGGTCCGTTACCACCCACACAGTCGCCACCCACAGGGTTTAGTCAATTGACTGTCTACCTGACTGCCGTCGTTGCAACTTTGTATCCTTATACTGGTCTGTTGTGCTTCAGTTGTTTTTTGTGTTTTGTGTTTTTTTTACCTAAGCCTGACCAGCACCGGATACATGCTGCTCGGGTTGGGAATCATATTGGTCTATTGTTTTGTTTGATGTACGCCATGTTTGGACTGCTGTTGCACCTTTACCTTGCTTGGCGGACCCTCGGTTCCGGCGTTTCGGTTGGTTTGGCTCCGACCTCTCTGGGGCCGGACCAGGTTGACCGGGGCCACCGGCGCCGGGGCTCTGCAGGCTTTTTGCTTGTTGGTTTTGATGCTTTCTTCCTACCAGGATCACTTTAATATGCCTTTGTCTACATGCTGTCTTCCTAGCCGCCTGCGTTTCTGCGCACTCACCACTAGCCCCCTTGGTGTTCCATTTTTTTACACCACCTGGGCTACATCTGTTCCCCGGGCCACCAGGTTTTGGGTGCTCCCAGGGACCGTTGTTTTTTTGTTGTTTTTTTTCTTTTTTGTTTTTTTTTTTGTTTTTGTTTTTTTTGTTTTTTTTTTTTCTTCCCTCTTTCTTGGGGGGTTCTTATGTCCTTCAGTGTCTCTCATAGAATACCCTCCCCTCCCCCCTTCCCCTCCCTTGCTCTCGCATACGACTGCACGTTAAAGCTTAGCTCGAGTAACCGCATACCCTCCCGGCGCCAAATTGACATAACATTCCTCGTGATGGTACCTCACTGTCCGCTTACCCATTGTTTGCTCTACCCTTGGGTTCCTTGAATATTCTCACCCTGAATATTCAGGGTCTTAACGTCCCGCAGAAGCGCAACAAAGCATTCCGCTCATTTGCGTCGCACAATGCGCATATAGTCTGTCTTCAGGAAACACACTTCACTCCTACCTCTATTCCCAAATTCTTTGGCCCTCGTTACCCACAGGTCTACGCGGCCTCTGCTGCCACTAAGTGTAGAGGGGTTTTAGTCGCCCTCCACCGTACAACTCCTTTAAGTTACAAACTGAGATTAAGGATCCTGAGGGTCGTTGTATCATACTGGTTGGGCAGTTGGTGGACTATGAGGTCACCATAGCCACGTATTACGCTCCGAACCAGGGTCCTCTGCCGTTCCTTTCCCACCTCTTCTCGGTTATAGATCATCATAAAGCGAGGCACGCTCATACTCTGTGGAGACTCTAACCATATAATATACCCCTTCTTAGATAAATCCCCACAATCACCTTCTCC